GTACTCCTGTTCTTTTTGCGGATACAGACTAACACGGCTGCTACTCTGAAACATGGCATTTACAGTGAGCCCACCCTTTCTAGAGCTGCTCCTGTCTCACTGTGTGCTCCTTGCTGGCTGGCCTCATACTTATTGTACTGTGCCTGTGTGGAGGTGTATGGGTGCCTGATTCCAGAGCATTCACTGAAATCTTCTGCCTCTCAGGTCTGGATTGATCTTGCTTAGAAGCTGACGGATAAGCTGGAAGGAACCATGACAGCAGCATTCTCTCAGGTAACAAAGGCATCAGCACTCAGCACCAGCCACAAGATCCTCCTGGGGCTGCAGTATCCAAGCACCAGTTCACCCTTCCAGTTTGTATGTGGGAACTGAGGCATGTACTCACCCAAGAACTTGCAGCAGGTCTGTGTCAGAGCTAGGAGTAGAACCCAGCTGTTCTGACTTCCAGATTGATGCCCTCCCAAGTAGACCATGCTGCCATCATTAGCAGCTTTCTGTGCTGGTTAGCTGTGCAATAGTGAAGGGATTGAAGCAAGGCCAGGTAGCAGCTCATGAGCACTGTGTTCCCTGGGAGATCCCAGGCTCTGTACCCACCACTTCCTCATTCCCAATCAGCAGATTCCTCCCGCATCTGTGAAATTCATCTCCTCCCATGCCAGTTTGTGGGAGGAGAGTGTTTGCCATGTCCCAGCAGCTGTCTCCACCCTCCCCTTCAAAGGTGTTCCTCAGCATCTTTCTGCAGAAAGGTCTGGGGGTTGCCTGGTTGGCCCCTGAGGCTGAGTGGCTGCATGTGCTCAGGAGCAGTCTTGTGCTGGGAGGGAGGGAGGGTGGGGGAGTTCTGGCCCACCTCTCTTCCCCCATTCTCATGCTGCTGTGTTGCTTGATAAGTGCTAGTCACCTTAGAACAGGAGTGGCCAACCTGTGGCTCCAGAGCCACAAGCGGCTCTTCAGAAGTTAATATGCAGCTCCTTGTATAGGCACCGACTCCGGGGTTGGAGCTACAGGCACCAACTTTTTAATGTGCTGGGGGGGGTGCTCACTGCTCTGCCACAGGCCCCGCCCCCTCCCCATAGCATGCCCTACCCTTGCTCCTCGCTCCCAGAGCCTCCTGCATGCCGCAAAACAGCTGATCAGGAGGGAGGGGGAGGCTGATTGGGTCTGCTGGTGGGTGGGAGATGCTGGGGGGGCTGCTGATGTATTACTGTGGCTCTTTGGCAATATACATTGGTAAATTCTGGCTCCTTCTCAGGCTTAGGTTGGCCACCCCTGCCTTAGAAACAGTGAGACACTGCTCAGATGGTCCTGAGGTGCGCAAGGCAGTGGCACACAATTCCAGGCCTCCCACTCTCAGAGCACTGGTTCCTCCAGATCCAGCAGCTGAAAATACATCCCTTTCCTTAGTGTTTCAGTGGCAAGATTAGTTGGAGCATTGTAGCCATTTGCTGCTTAGTCAAAAGTTCCCCCAAACCAGACCATTTGGGGATTTCTGTGGCATCAGGTTGGGTGGTCAGCCAGTCAATGGGCATCAATAGAGAATCTACCACAACCTTTGGTAAATTGTTCCAATGGTTAATTTAACACTTTAGGGCTAGTCTGAATTTGTTTAGCTTCAACTTCCAGCCATTGAATTGTGTTCTACCTTTCTCTGCGAGCTTGGAGAGGCCATTATTAAATACTCTATAAGTAACTACATGGAAAACAAATAATCGTTACCCCTTAACCTTCTCTTATTAATATATTCTGATTATGCAAACACATGACTCCATTAGGGTAGGAAATCATGTCACACACACCCCTTTGAAGGTAACCTATCTTGGTGCACTTAAAAGCATCAAATACTAATTGAAAATATTTTATGGTAAAACTGGTTTGCTGCATATTTCATATTCAAATTCCAAAAAGCTCTAATTTATGTCATTAACCCCAGAGTAGAATTACATGACTCTGGGTTTGGCGCTGATCCTGCAAACTCATGCACGTGAGTAACATTTTATGAACATGTGGGTGTTTAGAGGCTCTGCACCTTCTCCAGGATCTGGGCAATGCGCAGAGAATGAGCTTAAAGTCAGACATTGACAAAGGGACCATTACCTGCCAGGGATGGGAGGACTTGGGGGTAGGGTGACATACTGGAGAACAATCTCTGTGCTGACAGATGCAGTCTTTGCAAAATCACAAATAACCTTAAAGTACAAAACAAAAACACCACTATTGGTTGGGCTGCACCAAAGGGGGCTCAGCAGGCTGGAGATATAGGGCAGGGGAACAACAACTTCCCTGATGCACTGAGACCTGGCTGGGAGTGAATGTGATAAACATTGGACTTCCCATGATGCACTGCAGCAGGAAAGCACTGGCAGAAGTTAGAGACTACATTTCCCATATATGCCAACCAAGCAAGATCAGGGACAACTGAGTCCATCCAGGAAGTCCCTGGGGCATTTCACTGCTCTCCTCCCTATTTGGTGCATATATTGGAGGGCAGGGGGTGGAGATGGAAGATGACCCATGGTGCAAACTTTCTTAGATGCCCTCTTCCTATTGAAGCCCCTTTAGTGCTGCTCAAACATCCTCAAGGACCCCTGAGACACAGCAGTATTATCCCCACTGGAGCAATGAGACACAGATTCTGCAAGATGCCCTGTGTCATACAGCAAGTCTTAAGACAAGACAGGTTTGGACCTAGATCTCCTAAAGGACATTCTTCCTTACATTTTTCCCCAGAAGTGTTTTGCTCTGTACAGGTAAAGAGATGTATTTATATGAAATGGCTGTGAGAGAACTAATGAACAAACATTCTTCCCAACCACAAGACAGTTTTTCAACTTGACATAGAAAACCTGAAGTGAGAAGAACTGATGAGAAATTCTCATTTTCTGCAGCTTGAATGTGACAACAGAACTGCTGGTGGCCGTGTTGTAGCTGTCTTGGTCCCAGGCTATTAGACACACAAGGTGGGCAAGTTTTTTTTTTTTTTTTAATTGGACCTTCTGTTGGTGAAAAACAAGCTTGCAAGCTACACAGAACTCTTCTTCAGGTGACCAGTCTGTGAAAGTTTCTCTCTCTAACCAACAAAAGTTCGTCCAAAAGAGATTACCACACCCAACTTGTGTTCCTAACAACAGGACTAGGTCAGACAGAAGGTGACTGTCCTGCAATATGATGGTGTCAAAGGGTCAGGAAATGCAACCTAGGCTAATCCTATGACAGCTTCCCCAGAATTGTGCGCTTTGGTCTCCCTCAGTTATACAGTGATTTCATTGTACGCTTTAAGGGGATATTTTCATTGTTTGTGCCAGAAAGATCCTTGGGGTGGAGTGTGTCCGATTATACAGCAGAAGTCAAGAGTTAACACCTGCAGATACAGGCCTGGTGCAGTAACCAAACACTTATATGCACTTCAGGGCAAATCGGATGTTTTCCCTAAGATAGTGATGCCCAAACCCATACGCAGAAGTCTGTCTAATAATGGCTACAGAACACACAAACCCTCAGCACTAGCAGACAGAGTTCAGCTGTAAGTCATTGCCTCAGCTACCCCCAAAGGGCACAACATCCTAGGCTTGCGTGTTAGAAGAGTAAACAACATCGCAGCATTAGTGACTCACACAGAAAGTCTGCTTTGTCCTCAACTAAATCCAGTCTTTACTCAAGAGGGACAAGTTAATCAGGGAGCAGCATCCCAGAGTCCAGGGTCCATTCCACAGAAAACAGGACCAGCCCTAAACTGGGGAACGTTCGAGCAGGCAGGTCCTTACGGATGAGTTTGGAACCCAACCTGTCATGTCTCAGTCCTCACCCACCCACAGACAAGTTCTCAACATTTTAGTCTTAAAAGGGAGTGAACAATCAGATTTATGCTCCTCCCACCCCACACATACAGAGGCCCGTTTTTAACCTCAGAAAGGGTAAACTTGGTTGGAAGAGTCAAGGTGTGCGTGTCTCAAATCTGAACTGGAAGCAGCAGCCACGTCTCTTTGCTTTTCTGGTGCATATTCATTAACTATCAGGGAGCTCAAGCATTAGTGCCCCTTAATCAGGTTTTGTCCTTTGAACCTCTCATCCAGCCTGTGACTGCGACTCAGAAGACCTGGGCCTTTCCGCATCCCAGCAAACGAGGCAGCAGCCTGAGCCCAGATGATAATACGTTTGGAGAAATGATACTCAGCTCCAGGAGTAGGATATCTGCCAGCGCACAAACCCCTGGCTTGCACTATGAGACATGCATCCCCCACCAAAAACTTCTTGTGGTACATCCTGCTCCTAACTTGTCCCCTTCACCAACTGCTCTATGCCTTAATCTCCCTCCAATGTGGCAGATGCCGCTGCATATACTAGACCAGAGGGTACCCCCAGGTGGACAGATGCAGGTAGATGCACCAGGTAAAAACCATACTTTTTTTTATTGTTAAATCATAAAGGTATCAAAATTAAAAGAGGAAAATTACAGGGGATTTAACAGAACTATGGGGCGAGCCAAGGGCGTGGCGGGAGACAACACCATGAACACGTGGGCGGGCAGTGAGAAGGAGGCTGGAGAGGGGCCGGTGACAGGCTCAATCTCAGGTGGGCACCTTGCTGGGGGGGTTGCACCAGTGGCTTAGGAGTCATCTTCACCATTGGCACTGTCTCGGTCGTCCTCTCCTTCCTCCGCCTCCTTCTCGTCACCCTTGATGGATTCCAGCTGGGAGAGAGGGGACAGGAAGGGGTTAGCCACAGTGACACCCACTCTGCCCTGGCTCTCTCTGGTTTCAGGGTTCATACCTGGTCATCCCCTCGATCTTCATTATCATCATCGTCCAGCAGGTCCCCCTCCTCAGCAGAGTCATCTGCCCCAGCCTCAGACTCCATCTTCACGTTGCTCTCCTCCTTCTTCATGGAGCTGCTGCTCTGCTCCTCCTCAGACTTCTCGTTCTTCATCTCTGCAGGGGGTGAAGTTGGGTATCAGGGAAAATGCCACCCCAGGGCCTCGTGCCCACCCGCCATCCAGGGAGCTGAGGCTGCCCTGAGCAAAGCACACCCCATGGAGGGGGACGGATTCTCCCAACTCTACCACAGCTCCACACCAAGGACAAACCAACGTGGGTCCCCCGAGGGAGCCCCACGTCCTTCTCCACCCCCCCTCTCACCCGTTTGTTTACTTTGATCCTTCTCGATCTTTTCCAGGCTCTCCAGCAGCGAATCCACTTTCTGTTTGATCTGGGTCAGCTCCTTCTTAATGGTCTGGATGTCATCACCTTTCACTGAAACCCAAGAGAAGTAGGGGACTGATTGCCACTAGGACCCATCCCAACAGGGTACAGGCTGCAACCCTAACTCCGGAATGCAGGGCCTTAAGACCCCGCACAGGCAAGGGAAAGTTAGTGTCAGTACACACTACTCAGAATGGGTCTGGCACCTGCAGCCTGTCTGACCCCACCCCAGACTCCTCAAGTCAGCACTGCAGGCTCCGACACGTACATTTACCAGACTTGGAGGATGATCCTCGCTGACCACTCTTGGAATTAAAGCCACTCTTGCCTCGGCGGGAGGTGTTGCCAGAGACACGCTGGCGTTTGGAGGGCACCACAGCCCGGGCGATGGGGGGAGGTGGGGGCACACGTGCTGGGTAGCTGTACATCCTAGGAGCAGGAGGAAAACAGTGACCCCCCGAGCAACAGGAGGACCTCCATGCACCCACCTGCACACTGAGCTGCACAGTGTTACACCCCTTGAGAGATTGTGTGTGCAGTGCTAAAGCTTATCGTCATCCTCCCAGGACACTCAACGTACCTGTCATAGTAATCCCGCTGGAAATCATAGTCCAGGTCAAAGGAGGACCTGGAAAAGAAAGCCCATAAGACAGGGTCAGGATGGGCAGACAGCCTGGGGGGGGAGAGAGGGGGGAAGAGGAGAAGGAGGAGGTGATGGTGGGGAGGGACCCTGCTGAGGAAGTGGGGAAAGAGGTGCTGCTGCACCGAACCTGCTCCTCATGGAGGGAGACAGGACCCAGCAGCCCAGCCTGAGGGACTCACTGGCTTCTCAGTGTAGGTTATACACACACACGGAGCCATGCTGCAGGAGGGAGGGGTAGCTTTGCAGAGCAAACCCACCAGCACCTGTCTCTCCAGTTTGCCTACCACCCAGCTGCTACGAGCTGGGATGGGCCTGGGCAGAACCTCCCACACCCAGGGAGCCCCAGCAATTCAGACACTTGGGGCAGGGGCCTAGGCAGCCTGAGACACCCAAGGGAGGCATCTAATGTGCAGCCACTTCCCAACATCCCTCCCCACCTCTGGGAGACAGAAAGAGAGAGAAGAGGTGCCCACGCAGGGCATAAACGCGATATAAAAAACATAAGGGTCCCGACCTGACTAGAGGGGACGGAGAAGGTGGTGCAGCTACTGACCCGTACATCTCTGCTGCCGACCGCTTCACGCCTGCCTTGCCCCGGTTCACCTTCGGCTCAGCCGCCAGGTTGATATCTGGAAGAGAAGCAGACACATGCTGAGCAGACAGCCCTACTCCTCATTGATGTGAGGAACTAACAACACTTCGACTGACTGGAGCCAGGCCCATAGGGGACAGCTCCTGGATCAGAGCCACTCTCCCCCACTGGAGTGCTAGCTCTGACCAGTGCAGCTCACCGGCATAAAGTGATAGCATGATCCATGTTCCTCTCCAGCACGACTTGGTACCCAGCCCCACCAAATGGGCCATGGGGAACAGCTGGCAGTGGGGAAGCAGACACAAGCGCTCATCTACCACAGAGGCCAGGCAACGGGAAGGCTCCCCACACAGGCAAGGCTTGCCCAGAGAAAATTCCTAACTGCAGACTGTGACCACAATGTATCCAGCTTGCAACAGGGCCTGTGTGCGTCAGTGACCCAGCCACGCACTGGCAACAGGGAAAGGGGCAGATTGCATAATGGGTGCCTCAGTCTCCATAGAGCCCCACAGACATCCCCCGATTCACATCCCTGTGCCCAAGACTTCTTAAGCATACCCACCTCCCTTGACAGGTCAGCACTAGGTGTCTGTTGGCTGCTGGCCAGTGCCTGTAATAGCTTCTGAGATAAACCTGAGCCCTGGGGGAAGAGGCAGTGGCATCTCTTGTATCAGAGATCTGCAGAGGGTCAGAAACCTGCCGCTCTGAAACACACCGCCCACCCACCCCCATCCATTCCATGTTCACAGTTCTCCTGCTCCCTCCTAACTCCTATGACCAGGCACTGCAGCGGGGCACCTCAACAGCCCAACAACTAGCCAGGATGGGAGTGTTGGGTGAAGCTCACACAGAACCTGGCTGGTGATCAGCTTATCTTCTGCAGTGCGTGTGGATGGGGCAGGAGGCACAGCTAGGGGATGCCCACCAAGGGTCTGGCCAGCAATCTCCCTGGTATGGTGTGGTAGGGTTAGGGCAGACAGGAGGTGCTCACCTGGGTCCAGGCCAATGCTATCCCTGACATCTCCCAAGTATGTGAGGGTGGAGGACTGTCTGGTCTGGCTTAGGGATGCAGTCAGGAGGCGCTCACCTAGGACCTTGCACATGCTAACCCCGCGATACTTCTCGGTGTGCAGGAAGGGGTATCTAATCTGAGTTAGGGATGCAGCCAGGAGGCACTCACCTAGAACCTGGCCTGCGATCATCCGACCATCCTCCCCAGCCACAGCAGCGCGGGCATTCCGCTCGTTGACGTACTGCACGAAGGCAAAGCCCTTGTGCACAGAGCAGCCCACAATTTTGCCGTACTTGGAGAAGATAGCCTCCACGTCAGACTTCTTCACCACCAGCGTGTTGAGATTCCCGATGAATACGCGCGAGTTCATGGAGCGCGGGTCTGTCTTGTTGGTGACGTTGCTGGCCATGGCTCACGCGCAGCACGGACCTGCTGGGGTGGGGAGAGCTGGTCAGAGGGACAGTCACAAAAATGAACACACCCCATCTCCCTGCATCTCGAAGCCAGGTCCTGTCTCCACTGCCTTCCATCCGGGCATCCAAGTGCTTTAGGACGAGGGACCGCGATCTCAGAACCTCCAGTCACAGCACAAGGCAGGACTCTCACCATTAGACTTGGGTGAGCAGAGGGAAGGCCTGTCCATGGCTACAGAGTGATCCAGTGCCAGGGACAGCCAGATCCACCCCCTTTTAGAACTACCATTGTACAAGGCACTGGTGAGAGCTCATCTGGAATATGTGCAATTCCAGTCTCCCAAGTTTAAGAAAGATGCAGTCAAACTGGAACAGGTGCAGAGAAAGCCTGCTAGGATGATCAGATGAATGGAAAACCTACCTTATGAGGGGAGACTTAAGGCACTTGCCTCATTTAGCCTAACAAAGTGAAGCCTGAGGGGAGATGTGACTGATCTCTATAAATACACCAGAGGGATAAACACCAGGAAGGAAGGAGTTATTTTAATTAAGGGCCAATGTTGGCACAAGAACAAATGGCTATAAACTGGCCATCAACAAGTTTAGGACTGAAATGAGACAAAGGTTTGTAACCATCATAGGATTGAAGTTCTGGAAGACCATAAGAACGGCCATACTGGGTCAGACCAAAGGTCCATCTATCCCAGGATCCTGTCTTCCGACAATGGCCAATGCCAGATGCCCCAGAGGGAATGAACAGAAGAGGTAATCAGCAAGTGATCCATCCCGTCGCCCATTCCCAGCTTCTGGCAAACAGAGGCTAGGGACACCATCCCTGCCAATCCTGGCTAATAGCCATTGATAGACCTATGCTCCATGCATTTATCTAGTTCTTTTTTGAACCCTGTTATAGTCTTGGCCTTCACAACATCCTCTGGCAAGGAGTGCCACAGGTTGACTATGCATTGTGTGAAAAAATACTTCCTTTTGTTTGTTTTAAACCTGCTGTCTATTAATTTCATTTGGTGGCCCTTAGTTCTTGTGTTACGAGTAAATAACACTTCCTTATTTACTTTCTCCACACCAGTAATGATTTTATAGACCTCTATCATATCCCCCCAGTCATCTTTTCCAAGCTGAAAAGTCCCAGTCTTATTAATCTCTCCTCATACAGCAGCCGTTCCAAATCCCTAGTTATTTTTGTTGCCCTTTTCTGAACCCTTTCCAAGTCCAATATATCTTTTTTGAGATGGGGCAACCACATCTGCACACAGTATTCAAGATGTGGGCATACCATGGATTTATATAGAGGCAATATGATATCTTCTGTCTTACTATCTATCCTTTTCTTAATGATTCTCAACATTCTGTTCGCTTTTTTGACTGCCGCTGCACATTGAGTGGATGTTTTCAGGGAACTATCCACAATGACTCCAAGATCCCATGCCAAGGGAAGCAGTGGAGGCAAAAAAAAAAAAACCTACTTTGTTTCAAGACTGAGCTTTACAAGTTTAATAGAAGTGATGATATGAGGCTGCCTACATTGGCAAAAGGCCCATCTGTGACTTCTATTAGCAAATATCCCCAACAGTCAGAAATGAAACACTAGAAGGGGAGGGTTGAGTTACTACAGAGAATTCTTTCCCAGGTGTCTGCCTGGTGGGTCTTGCCCACATGCTCAGAGTCTAAACACCATATTTGGGGTCAGGAAGTAATTTCCACCCAGAACAGATTGGCAGAGACCGGGGGGGGATTGCACCTGCCTCTGCAATGTGGAACACGGGTCATTTGATAGTTTGAACTAAAGTAAATGGTGGATTCTTTGTAACTTGAAGTCTAAGTCAAGATTTGAGGACTTCAGTAGCTCAGCCAGAGGTTTCAGGCCTATTACAGGAGCATATAGGTGAGATTCTATAGCCTGATGCGCATGAGGTCAAGCTAGATCATCATGATTGTTTCTTCTGTCCTTCAAGTCTATGAAGAACACTGTGTATACAAGCCCCCAGAGCATCTGTTGCTGCAGAAGACACTATAATACCTACAGAGAGGAGAGGCCCAACACCTAGCCCTAGGCACTTGCCTAGCTCTCCAACTTTTCCTGACCCTGGAATACAGCCAGTGCCAGACCCAGTCACATAGGGCTCCGTCTGTCCCGGAATCACCTGGCAGCAGCCACCACCTCAGAGGAAAGGGCTAAGAAACCCCGCAGCAGGCAGTTCCCCCCCCTCCCCAGCCCCCACAGTTCTGGGTCAATCCAGAGTCTGAAGGAGGAAAGCTTAGATCCCTTCCACCCTTGGTTTTAGGATGGGATTTCCAAAAGGAGCCTAGGAGTTTGGGACATGGGCAATAGCCCCCCTCAGTACTTTTGGCTATCCCAGTCTTAACCCCGGCTAATGGAACTCTGGATGAACATGCCCAATCTGCCTGGACCCTACAACCATGTGATGGGGAGTTCCACTGGCTATGTGTCCATGGCATGAAACGATTTCCTTTTTAGTAGCATCACACTAGCTGCCTTTCAATTTCATTAACTCTGCCCTTGGTTCAGTAATGCGACTGCTGATCTACCAGCTGTTGTTGTGTAACCCTCCATTCTCTCCCCTCTACGAGGAGCCGTCCCAATCTCTTTGCGAAGCAGACAGGCTGGATGTGAACGAGCAGCCCTATCTTGGCTCATGTGGACCCCTGGACCCTTTCTCCCAGCAGGCCATTTCCATACTGGGAGTGGTGAGGGGCTGGACAGTCTTCATGCAGATCCTGCCTTGTGCTCCACTCCAGCCAATTCAGACCAAGGAGGCAGAGTGACCTTCTCTGGGTCACCCAGTGACATAGGGGCTCACCTCAGACCCAAGCATTCACCAAGTGCTCTCCCTCCCTGACATTCTGTGCATGCCTTCCCAGCTGCCCTACAGACAAGAAGCCGTTCATGAAAGAGCAATGACTTGCCCCTTCTGATGGAGACAGGCACAGAATATGATGGGCATAGGGCAGTATACAGGCACTGTGCATCAGTGGTATGAGGCAGGGATCAGCATGGGGGCCATGCTGCATGACATGAAGATGGAGCACAGCTTTATTTCTACTTGCCTCTAATAAAGGGGATGTTCTCTCATGGAGCTGCAGGGGGCTGGCAGGGGAAGGGAACAGAGGTCTGGAAGACTTCTTGAGAACTGTCCCCCATCTCTCAGGATGGGATTCACCCTTTACACTCAACTCTGCTGCAAAGAAGATTGTTGCCCCCCACACAAACAGCCCCACTCCCCAAAAGGCCAAGGCATTGGGGGCTGGTGAGTTAACACACCTGCATTTCGACAGCCAGACAGAGCATCTGCCAGGGGCTCAAGGACCATACAATGAACATGGCGCCAGTGGCAGTCCCTGCTGCAGGAGCCCTTGGACTAAAGTAGCAGGGGCAGCTGCAAGTCAGGATTGAGGGGCCTCAGCAGAGCTTGGTGAGGACTCCAGGACTTGAGAGCATGTCACTGAATGGTGAGGTCAGCATGCTCCATCCCCACAGGTGGTTCAACCCCCCGCTGCTTTTGCACATACCAACCACAGACAAGAAAAGAGAGAACAACCTACATACAGCTCTAGCGAGACCCCATCTGGGACCTGGCGCTCAGGTCCAAGACCCTCAAACCCAAAGGCCTCCGGTCCCAGAGCAGGGAGGGGAGAGTCCCTCTATACACAGGTTCAGAAGATCCCACCTGGGATCCTGTGCTCAGCTTCGGGCTCCTCACTGGGAGGGACATCTGAGGAGAACAGCAGAAGGGTTCATGGATGCTGGAAGGCTGCACGTCTGGGGCAGCTGAGCCTAATTGTGTGTTGAGAACAGGATTTCCATGGCTTCCCTTCCTCGGTCTCTCTCAAACCCAGAACTCTTCTCGTGACGCAGCTTTTGGAAGTGGAAATGTGACCACACTTACACAGCCTGCTTAGTTATCACGGCTGATCTTTCCCCTCCCACCACCAGAGTCACATGACCATGGCCCTTACCATGGCAGTACCCCCACACCCTGCAGCTCTGCTAATGCATGTCTCTGCAGCAAGCAAACCTTGGACCACGCCTGAGATACAACACTGGCACCCACAACAATGCCTCCTCCATGCCAGGGCCTTTAGTTCTGGCTGCTGAAGCTTGCAATAAAACCTATTGGCCCTCACACCTCTTACCATGGCCCAGGATGGGTTTGTATCTGCGCCGCACGTGGTACCACCAGCTGCCGCTGCTGCTCCAGGCTGGGTTTCCATGTCGTTGTGGTGGGTTGTTTGTGAGGGAAGGACGGTGTAGAGGAAGAGCAGGAGGAGGGTTTGGGGGTCAAAGGAGGAGAGGGGCTGTTTGGGGAAGGGCCATTGCTATCAGGAGCGATCAGCACCACAGACATCATATTGCAGCAACAGTTTAAAAATTGTACAAATGAAAGATTAAAAATAAAAAATAAAAAATAAAAAAATAAAAAAAATACAGACTTCCAGAGATGTTCTAAAACAATTCAGGAGAAACCAGGTCCCGCTCTCAGCAGCCAGGCAGTCAGGGGGGAAAAAAAAGAGTTAGCGTGATCAATCCACTTTAAAAATTTAAAAACCTTCCACAGTCAGGAACACTCAGAAAAACTCGATTTCATCCGGTTAAAAATCAGCAGTGTCATTATCATCACCATCAGCAACATATCAGCATAGTCAAGTCATCAGCATTATAGTAGTATAATAGTAATAGTAACTAGCAACAACAATAAAAAGGAAATCAGTGGAAAGGCAGGAAAAATGGAAAAAAAAATTGGAATAACTTACTGTAGCTGAAGATCAAAAAAATCTCACTGTAAAAAAACAAAAATAAAAATAGCCCAGATTAGAAAAACGGGAGGTGCCAAAAGGTCAAGTCAGCAACGATCATTTCTGTTCTCTCCCTCTCTCTCTCTGTTCCAGCCACGGTTACCACAGAACCGCCTGGGGAGAGCTCTCGGTAGGAGACAATCACAGCCCTTTGCACATCATCATTTCACTCTAAAAATACCCGAGAGGTCAGCTCATGAGGGGCGAAAAGGCTCCTCATCTACCCCAGCTGCTGCAGAAAAAAATAGAGATAGAGACTTTAAAAATTACATCTTAAATCCAGCTCCAGTTTGGCGCAGGGAGCGCTAGGCCACGGGGACACCGTTAAAATGGCTCTATAAAATTGGGAGGTGTGCGTGTGTGGGGAGGGGGGGTTAAAACGAAGCTGAGCTCCAGTGAGAAGGGATGGGGTTTCGCCTCGCTGCCCTGTGAAAGGAGAAGGGACAGATTGAGTCAGGGTTCCTCAGAAACACTGCACGCATCTCCCACTCGCCCACCAAGAGACCTGCCTACCTCCCAGGGGGCCGCAAGCTCACAGATGCCCTGGCTCAATTAGGTTTCTGGGTGCGATGAAACATGTCTCCATCTTAATCTCTCTGCTTCTCCCTATCGCCAAAGAAGCAGCTCAGATGACTTGTGAGCACAGACACTTGTGAGCTTGTGGCAGGAGGCAGCTTCAAGTGGGGGTGCATCATGTTCACACACCATGAGGCAATGAGAGCGAAGGGAAGGAGAACATACATATGCTGGAGCCAATCCTGAGAGGACGGGGAGAGGAACCTGCAAGTCAGTTAACTGGAACTCCAGGAATGTGGGGGGTTTGAGGCACTACAACCTCCTGGGGTTGGAAGAAAATAGCCCCTTCCTGTCCCTGTCAGGTATTACAGAAGGCAGCTTGCTACTGGAAAAGGGGATGAGGCTGCCTTCTCTCTCTCTCTGAAGAGACCAGCATTAGATATAGCTGGAGATGGGATACCAGGCCAGGTGGGCCCACTGCCCTGTGGCCTGAGGGGCCATGGATATGATGTGAAAGAAATACCAGTCTACATGGGTCCATCTATCTGATCCAACATGAAAGGGGATGGGGAGGATCCCAGGGTAGATGAGACCATTACCACACTCGTTCAGAACAGACAGAGAAAGTGGATTAGATGTGCAGAAGTGTACTGGGGGAGACATTGGGAGAGGAAGTGTCCTGTGCCTTTAGTATACACTGCCACCACACGCTCCCCCGGCATGGTTCAGGGACAGCCTGAACTGCAGGGTCCGCGCTACCCCAACATAAGTCACACTGTAAGTCACTCTCTCCTTCAAATCATCTCTGATCACTAGGAATAAGGCAGAGTCCCAGCCTACAGCATAGGGGGACAGGATCCTCTCACTCTCACCTATTGCTATGTTTATTAAACAACAAGAATGTCTACATGAGGCCATGCCTCTAGGATTTGAGCTCCACAAGTTGTTTCCCCAGCCCACTGCCACCCAAGAGAGGTGGTGTGATAGCGGGGAGGCTGACACTCTGGTTTGGAGTCACAACAGACACCAAACGCCTGCTGTTTCACACAAGGTTTGGTTACCTCATATGTAGATACACACACAGAGTACTGATTTGCATCAGCTGCCCAAATCCCTGCAGTGATGTTTGTGCACAGGGACCATTTACAGACACTTCTTGAACCAGAGATGATAAGGGGGTTAAGTGTGTGGCCCCTCCCTGCCATGTGAGTACCATGGCAAGTGTTCCCAACAAAGCGTGTTTTTTTTGTGGGAGGGTACATGTGCCAGCCGATCCTGATCATGGAGGCAGTCTGTGCACCCTCATGCCCCCCACCACCACAGGCGCATCTGGGCTCCCTCCATCTGACATCCTGGGGGGAGGAGAGAGCACCCCCGCCCAGACACCCCTCCCGCCAACCTCCAGGTCTCAGCCATCTCAGCCACGGGGATCAGCACAAAGGGGGATGCGTGTGGGGTTAGCCCTCCTCCCCCTGCAAGGGGACACTGGTTTCTCCTGGGGCTGGAGGGAACATACCAAGGGAGTTATCGCAAGTTCCGGCACTCCCCCACAATCCTACTCGCTAGGACGTACCATTCCCCCCCCCCCGGGGGGGGGCGCCTGAGGCAGGATATTTACTCTACCAGTTATCCCGAACTCCCCCGTCCCGCCTATCCTGGTCTCCGAGTTCCGGGGAGGAAAGTGAGGTTTTGTTTCGGCAGCGCCATTCCCCCCCCCCCCCGAAGAGGAGACTCTCCCCCCCTGGAACAGACCATTATCTCACCCCCATTTCCGACACTGGCCTTCCCAAAGAAAAGGATCATTTCCCTCCCCCGGGCCGCACCATTATGGGGGGGAGATGTCCTCCCACCCGCTATTACCGGAGAGGAATGTGTGTCCCCCACCCGGGGCCCGGGACGCGCACCATTACTGGGGGAGGAGATTGTGCGTGTCGCCGTCCCCCGCTCCAGGGCCGCACCATTCCCGCGAGGGGGGCCATGTGTGTGCCGAGCCCCTCCCCCGCACCGTCACTGGGGAGGGTGAAGCCTCCCGGGCCAGGACCGCACCATTAACCCCCAGGAAAGGCTCGCGAACGACTCACTCACCGCTAGACCCCAATACAGCTCCGCGTCACGCTCACTATCTCTCCGCGGCCGCCTCACTCCGAGCTCCTCACAAAATGGCGTCCACGCCGCCCTCTGCGCCGCGCAGCCCGGACTTATCTGTGCCCGCCCCCTTCACGCCTCCATTGGAGGGCGGGAAACCCCCTTCTCAGCAGTAATTGGCTAGTATGGAAGTCGAGCACAATATTGGCCAATGAGAGCAAAGAGAGTGAGGGCGAGGCTAGGAGTGGCTCTGCCCCTTTCTCCCGCATGCGACGGAAAAAAAGATAACGATTGGATGAGGAACGTGTCACTCCCTGAACCAGCTCCAACTTTCTATTCTGACTGGCCTGTCATTCTCCCCCGTCTCTATTACATTTTCCTTTCTGATTGGATGAACAACTCATCAGACCCCGCCCTAGCCTATAGGCCTCTGTGATTGCTCTGCTTTTGTCCTCATTGGTTGGCTGCCATGTCTGTCACTCTAAGACATTTCAACTCTTATAAGCCACAATCGAGGAAGAGGCGGGATCAACTGTGTCTGATTGACTGAAAGGGCTCCATGGCGGCGGAATTGCATCCGGGGCCTGCGCCCTGATGCCTTCCCATTGGTCACAGTGGGGATGATGACGATTCTGTTTCCTCGCGTTGTCATTGGTGAGCGAAGGTGCCCCCGGTCCTGCTGTGGGAACGGCTAGCGGCGAACGCGCGGGAGCGGGTAGGTCGTGCTTCCGCCAATCAGCGCCGGGCCGCTCCCTTCCCGTAACGGTGATTGGCCGCTTTGAAACCGACCCTGTCAAATCAACAGCCGCCAGAGGCCGATTTTCGGGTGGGGAGGGGCTAGAGAGGAGCGGAGCTGGGAGGCCTTGAGCGAAAGTGGAGGGGCAAGAGGCAGAGGGATGGGGCTGAGACAGAGCCGGGCGGGGGCAATGAACTGAGGCGGGGAGGGGCTGAGGTGGGAAGAGCCAGCTGTGCCCTTCCCCCAGGGCCTGACTCAGCGGGCTGGTTTCGGGGTGCAGACCCCCCTCCCCACATAGCATCATAGACCTGGAAGGGACAGTGAGAGGTCACTGAGTCCAGTCCCCTGCACTCGTGGCAGGACTAAGTATTACCTAGACCATCCCTGACAGGTGTTTGTCCAGCTTTCTCTTAACAATCTCCAATGAGGGCGATTCCACAGCCTCCCGACACAATTTGTTCCAGTGCTTAACCACCCTGACAGGAAGTTTTTCCTAATGTCCTAAGCCTCCCTTGCTACAATTTAAGCCCATTGCTTCTTGTCCCATCCTCAGGTTAAGAAGAACAATTCTTCTCCGTCTTCCTTGTAACAACCTTTTTTGTACTTGAAACTGTTATGTCCCCTCTCACTCTTCTCTTTTCCAGACTGAACAAACTCAATCTTTCCTCATAGGTCATATTTTCTAGACCTTTAATAATTTTTGTTGCTCTTCTCTGGACTTTTTCCAATATTTGTCCACATCTGGCGCCCAAAACTGGACACAATACTCCAGTTGAGGCCTAATCAGCACAGAGTACAGCAAAAGAATTACTTCTTGTGTCTTACTTACAACACTCCTGCTAATACATGCCAGAATGATGTTTGCTTTTTTTTGCAACAGCGTTACACTGTTGACTGTTTAGCTTGTGATCCACTATAACCCCCAGATCCCTTTCAGCAGTATTCCTACCTAGGCAGTCATTACCCATTTTGTATGTGTGCAACTGATTGTTCCTTCCTAAGTGGAGTACTTTGCATTTGTCCTTATTGAATGTAATCCTATTTTCTTCAGACCATTTCTCCAGTTTGTCCTGATCATTTTGAATTTTAATCCTAGTCTCCAAAGCACTTACAACCCCTCCCAGCTTGATATTGTCCGCAAACTTTATAACTGTACTCTCTATGCCATTATCTAAATCATTGATGAAGATATGGAACAGAACCAGACCCAGAACTGATCCCCGCGGGACCTCACTCATTATGCCCTTCCAGCATGACTGTGGACCACTGATTACTCTCTGGGAACAATTTTCCAACCAGTTATGCACCCACTTTATAGTAGCTCCATCTAGGTTGTATTTCCCTAGTTTGTTTATGAGAAGGTCATGCGAGACAGTATAAAAAGTCTAACTAAAATCAAGATATACCATGTCTACCACTTCCCCCCATCTACAAGGCTTGTTACCCTGTCAAAGAAAGCTATCAGGTTGGTTTGACAGGATTTGTTCTTGACGAATCCATGCTGACTGTTATTTATCACATTATCTTCTCAGTGTTTGCAAATTGATTGCTTAATTATTTGTGTGACGGGTTCGGCCACAGAGACCCCCTTGGGACTGTCACCTGATGGCGCTGAGACTACCTCTGAGCCCGTTTTCTAGAACCCTGCCTTGTTGAGCCAGACACGCCAGTCTGCTCCAACACAGACCCAGGGTCTGAACCACACGCCACAAAGCTGCAGACTTACCTGAAAACGGCTTAAGAAGTGCTCCTGTCTCCAGCACCCAGACACCCAGCTCCTAATGGGATCCAAACCCCAAATGAATCTGTTTTACTCTGTATAAAGCTTATACAGGGTAAACTCATAAATTGTCCACCCTCTATAACAATGATGGAGAGAGATGCACAGCTGTTTGCTCCCCCAGGTATTACTTACTTACTTACTTTGGGGTGATTAATAAGCAAAAGTGATTTTATTAAGTATAAAAAGTAGGATTTAAGTGGTTCCAAGTAATAACAGACAGAACAAAGTAAGTTACCAAGCAAAATAAAACAAAATATGCAAGTCTAAGCCTAATACATTAAGAAACGGATTACAGATAAAATCTCACTCTCAGAAATGTTCCAATAAGTTTCTTTCACAGACTGGACTCCTTCCTAGTCTGGGCCCAATCCTTTCCCCTGGTACAGTTCTTGTTCACTCCAGCTCAGGTGGTAACTAGGGGATTTCTCATTACTGGAACCTCCTTTGTTCAGTTCCACCCCCTTATATAGCTTTGGCACAAGGCAGGAATCTTTTGTCCCCTGGGTCCCCACCCCTCCTTCTAAATGGAAAAGCACCAGGTTTAAGATGGATTCCAGTACCAGGTGACATAGTCACATGTCCTTTGAGACCCCAAGCCTTCATTCTTCCTGGCCTGACTCACAGGAAGGCTTGCAAGTAAACAACTACAACCAATTGTCCTGGTTGATGGGAGCCATCTAGATTCCAAACCACCATTAATGGCCCCCACTTTGCATAATTACAATAGGACCTCAGAGTTATATTTCATATTTCTAATTTCAGATACAAGAATGATACATTTATACAAATAGGATGATCACACTCAGTAGATTATAAACTTTGTAATGATACCTTACAAGAGACCTTTTGCATGAAGCATATTCCAGTTACATTATATTCACACTCATTAGCATATTTTCATAAAATCATATGTAGTGCAATGTCACAATTTGCTCTATTATCTTTTTGGGTACAGAAGTTAAGCTGACTGGTCTGTAATTCCCCAGGTTGTCCTTATTTCCCTTTTTTGTAGATGGGCACTATATTTGCCCTTTTCTAGTCTTCTGGAATGTCTCCCGTCTTCCATGACTTTTCAAAGATAATTGCTAATGGCTTAGATATCTCCTCAGTCAGCTCCTTGGGTATTCTAAGATGCATTTCATCAGGCCCTGGTGATTTGAAGACATCTAACTTATCTAAGTAATTTTTGACTTGTTCTTTCCCTATTTTAGACTCTGATCCTACCTCATTTTCACTGGCATTCACTATGTTAGACATCCAATCGTCACCAAACTTCTTGGTGAAAACCAAAACAAAGAAGTCATTAAGCACCTCTGCCATTTCCACATTTTCTGTTATTGTCTTTCCCCCCTCATTGAGTAATGGGCCTACTCTGTCCTTGGTCTTCCTCTTGCTTCTAATGTATTTGTAGAATGTTTTCTTGTTTCCCTTTATGTCCCTAGCTAGTTGGATCTTGTTTTGTGCCTTGGCTTTTCTAATTTTGTCCCTACATACTTGTGTTATTTGTTTATATTCATCCTTTGTAATTTGACTGAGTTTCCACTTTTTGTAGGACTCTTTTTTTAGTTTTAGAACATTGAAGATCTCCTGGTTAAGCCAGTGTGGTCTCTTGCCATACCTTCTATCTTTTCTACACAGTGGGATAGTTTGCTCTTGTGCCCTTAATAATGTCTCTTTGAAAAACTGCCAACTTCTTCAATTGTTCTTCCCCTTAGACTTGCTTCCCATGGGATTTTACCTACCAAATCCCTGAGTTTGCTAAAGTCGCCTCCTTGAAATCCATTGTTTTTATTTTGCTGTTCTCCCTCCTACCATTCCTTAGAATCATGAACTCTACCATTTCATGATCACTTTCACCCAAGTTGCCTTCCACTTTCAAATTCTCAACCAGTTCCTCCCTATTTGTCAAAATTAAATCTAGAACAGCCTCCCCCCAGTAGCTTTCTCCACCTTCTGAAATAAAAAAATTTCTCGAATACATTCCAAGAACTTGCTGGATAATCTGTGCCCTGCTGTGTTATTTCCCCCAACAGATGTCTAGGTAGTTGAAGTCCCCCATCACCACCAAGTCCTGTGATTTGGATCATTTTGTTATTTTAAAAAAAAAAGCCTCATCCATCTCTTCTTCTTGGTTTGGTAGTCTGTAATAGACCCCTACCATGACATCACCCTTGTTTTTTACCCCTTTTATCCTTACCCAGAGACTTTCAACAAGTCTGTCTCTTATTTCTATCTCAACCTCAGTCCAAGTATATACATTTTTAATATATAAGGCAACACCTCCTCCCTTTTTTCCCTGCCTGTCCGTCCTGAGGAAGCTGTATCCTTCTATACCAATATTCCAGTCATGTGTATTATCCCACCAAGTCTCCATGATGCCAACTATGTCATAGTTGTGTTTATTTACTAGTATTTCGAGTTCTTCCTGCTTATTCCCCATACTTCTCACATTAGTATACAGACATTTAAGATACTGATTTGATTCCCTTCCCTCCCCCCCCCCCCCAGTTCTGAATTGTCTCTCCCTTATTTCTGCTATAACAGCCCATGCTCCCCCCAGATTCCGACCCTTCTC